TCCCAGGGTCCTGGGATCGAGTCCCGTATCAGGCTCCTTGCTCAGCAGAGAGCCTGCTTCTCCCTCTGCCTGCCACTCTCCCTGCTTGTGCTCTCTCTCTCACACAAATAAATAAATAAAATCTTTAAAAACAAATAAATAAAGCTACTTTCATTATGAGAAAAAATAAGGACAATATTAAAAAGATTGGATCCTGTGCCTTTTCTTTTTTTTTTTAATATTTTATTTATTTATTTGAGAGAGACAGCACGAGAGGGGGAGGGTCAAAGGGAGAAGCAGACTCCCCACTGAGCAGGGAGCCCGATGCAGGACTCGATCCCAGGACCCTGAGATCATGACCTGAGCGGAAGACAGATGCTTAACGACTGAGCCACCCAGGCGCCCAATTCTGTGCCTTTTCAAGAGACCACTGAGGCTTCCATAAAAATCAGCAAAGGAAGGTAATGTCAATCATTTTATAGTCCATTAGACTCTACTAAAAATAAAAAAAATCTACACTCATTTTCCTCCAACTGCTAAATGCATATATCTAATTACAGGTTGTTTATATATATATATAGTTTGAAAAAAATTAAAAGGCATTGGATTTTATTGCACAATACATGCTAAACTTTTTCAAAAAATGAATAAAATATTTTCACGAAAGAGGGAGAGAGGGAAGGAGGAATAAGGGAAGGGAGGACTGGAGGGAGGAGAGAAAGAAAAGGAGGGAGAGAGCCAGGGAGGTAGACGAGGTACCAGTAACCAGTGACACAGTAAGGGTAAGCGGCAGTAGTATGAATAGGAGGGCAGAGATAATCTCAGGACTGGATGTGTTCAAGTGTAGGGGAAGCAGCAGAGACTGGCCATGAAAGAAGAGAATGACAGATTCTAGACAGTAGACCAATGGGCATAGGAAACAGGCCCAGCTATGAGCAGAATTAGGAGGAAGAACACAAAGAGGAACTATGGTGTGAGGGGATGGAGAGGGAGGAGAAAAAGTGAAGAAATGAGAGAAAGCAAGGATGAGAGGGACCTTGCGTTACAGTAAAGGGCAAGTCTTGCTTCTAGCTAATGAGGATTGAGTTCATGAATCAATCATACACAATCCACTGGCTTTCTCAGAACATATATCAGTGTCTAATTCCCGGTCTTCTATTACATCAAGATTCCACTTAGCATCAACATGTCAACAATTAAGTTGTATTTCGCAGCACTGTAAACATCTAATGCCTTTTAGTTGTGCTAGAGAATAGTTCTGGTAATATGCTACATTAGACAAAATCACATCATAATAATAGTAATTGAGCCCCTACTATGTTCCAGGCACTATGAAAGCATTTTGCAGGCACTCACCTAATCCTCATAATATTATTATCCCCATTTAAGAGATTAGACTAGATGATGGTAAGATAAATAAAATATCCGAAGCCTAAAGACAGTAAATGGACAAGCAAGGATTTGAACCTATTCTATTTGATTCAAAAATTGTGTACTGACCATTACCCAACCTTAGTACTTAGAATAATCCTAACATCTGAATAAGAGCAGTATTTTTTAAGCCTAAAACTAACATGTAACCTTTCTTAGATGTTTTCCCTATTAATAATACATACATTTCTACATCTTATATACAAAATGCCTAAGTATATGTGTTCCTAGCTATCAGGGTTTATGATCTTATGAATAATAAGTTATTATTTACTGATCACTTATTATACGCCAGGCATTTAACTTTATGCACATAATCTCCTTTACTCCTCTTCACAAATCCTCAGATATATTTTACACAGGAAGACACTTACCCACATAATAATCGTTGTGAGAAACAATATACAGATCATGTCCTTCCTTTCCTTCCTTAAATACTTCTTCATAGGGTTTTGGTGGATTCACTACATCTCTAGCAGATGATTCTAAAGGAAGAATTAAAGAAATCAGTTTTAAGGTAACTTTCATCTATATAACATATTTAAATCGACTAGAACAGATGGCAAATGAGGTATGCCAATGACATAAACTACATGGGCCCTCAGAGAACACAAATAAAGATTTAGCAAGAAAGAGGACACCACCTATGCGTTACTGTCCTAGGGACCCGCACTTGACCTGGCTCACTCCCTAGAATTCTGAAGAATATCAGAACTCTGTATTGGTTAACTATTTAGGTTGTCCTGAGCTGTATTCCAAGCCTGTATAAATTTCTGATTGTGAGACACTCAGGACAATGTTGATTTCAGTTTGCTCCGGGCTTCCCAAGATGTTCTAAGCAAATTTGAATCACAAGTCAGTTTCAGAAACCCTGATGCCCTGTGGGAGTAGACTAGGTGACAGCTGTAGACTGAAGCGTACACCCTAAGTCTGTTTTGATCTGAATATCCATCTTCAAAGTAGCCAAAATTGCCAGGGAAAATCACTGGAATCAGGAAGAAATTCTTCCTACTGATCCCAAACCTAGAGCAATAAGATGTTTGTTTAATAGCTGCTTTCCCATGACTGGTGGGCCCCAGTTTTATATACAGTGAATTATTTTGTTTTTATTGTTTGTGTAATGATTTTTAAATATAATTCCATTCATAATTTCATTCTTCTCTTCCTAACAACATAGATTCAGTGTTTTCTTTTGGACTTCTGCCAAGAATTGCAGTCTGTAAACAAATAGTTAAGAATACCAGAAAGTAGGTCAACTCAAAATAATCCTGTAAAGCAGTACTTTTTGTCTGACATATGAACTATTATACCTACGAATAGACAAATACATGTCTTGGAACATTCTTTCTATTATATATTTAAATGAGGTATACCTTGACAGAACTTTCATATTAAATTGTCTAATCCTAGATAGCAGTTATGATATAATTACTGCAATGCTGTAATGCCATGTCTACATAAATACAATTTTAAAATCCTATTATAAAGTAAAAAGATACATCATCTGCTCTAAACTACATTTTTTCAAGTTTCAAACTTTAACTGATTTTAACTTTAGATCGGATATGATCAAGTTGTAGACTTGGCTGATTTTGCATCCCAAGAGAGAGGCATAATTTATTTCCAGAGTGGGTGTTACTATGTTAAGGAACATAATCTAATGGCCCTTTTGGTGAAAAAAAAAAAAAAAAAGATAAGGTTCCTGAGATAGAGCCTTAATGGGCGCAGAAAAACAAAGAGAACCAAATTTCTTTGCAGGATAAAGAAAAATGGAAGTTGAGGTCTCCTGTGGTTAAGACCCCTGGAGAGAGAGGGTAAGAGACATGAAAACGAGAGGAGGAGATAAATGTGAAGCAGGTGGAAGGAAAAGAAGCCTGGAACTTCAGAAGAAATAGTGGCCTGTGACCAATTCCATTATAAGTTGTTGTTTGTTGGAAGATGCACTCTACTCCCTAAGTTCTGCTTTACATGCTGCCTGCCTTTGGCATATGCGGGTAGACATTGTGGATCTGCACGGATGGAGTGCAGTACACAGCATTTGCCAAACTTATTTGTTCCATGGTCTGCTTCATAAAGAGTTAAGAGTTATGAACACATCAGAAGCATTGGTGGAAATAAAACACACAAATGCATGTCCAGGGAGAAGGGATTGAGGACTTCATAGCAGGCTCCACTATCAACTTTCTTGAACCTCTCTCCTGTCTTTATACCATTCTCTACTATACTCACTGAATCTGCTTCCAAAAGCTGAATTTTTACTGCCTTGGTACACATAAACTCTGAGGATTCTGGGTCTGAGAGTCATTTTCTTGCCATGATCCCATCTTTCATTCTGAATCATCATTTACACCACCACTAAATGCCATGTCAACAAAATATTTATATTTAATCCCATTTTCTAAGAAGACATTTCTTTTCCTTTTTTTTTTTTAGAAGACATTTCACCAAGCAACTCCCCAACACTTTTTTATTACCTCTGATGACTATTGTCCCAAATGTCGTATTGAGTACATCCAGGCCCTTAGGTAATCCTGGCGTTTGATCATGAGATTTTCCTAGTGGTGCCCATTGATTGCTAAAATATACTGACTCCTTTTTATCTTTAATTTTCTGTTGAAATGTTGTTATAGGCTCTGGGTTGATCAATACCTTTGCCTAAAGAAATCATATAAAGCACAGATGTAACAACAACAACAAAAAAGCAAAAATCTGAAAACTGAAACTAATCAATAGCTGGAGAAAAGATAATATGATTGTGGAAAAACATTTCATTATCCTTGCCTTTGCTCATCTCTTCAAATGAACTGTCAGCACTGGAGCTATGAAGCTGAAACATTCCTACATGAACCTTCACTGAGGCTCTAAGGTTTATAAGAAGAGAGCCCTGGTTACTTGACGCAGATTCTAGAAAAGTGGGAATGACAAGTATAAGAACCATGTGATTGCTACCAGCTCTCTCCAGAGGTATAGATCAGGTCTTCAGAATCTAGATAGCCCAATCAACACAGGTAACATTCAGCCCACTCCCCCAAATTCTATACAAGCACTCTGCTGTGCCTTGAGATGATATCACCCAACCTTCATACTCTCGGTTCTCTAACAAAGCCTGACAGCATTTCTCTTTACTCTGAGAAAATGAAGTGCAACTTGGCTTTTATTATCTGAGGTGAAAATATGTAGATTGTGGCTCAGACCATTAATTTCTCTACAGTCTCTTGGCTGTTGCCGCTTGGATTTTTTTCACTACTCAAGAGTTAAGAGTGGGAAGGAAATTGGAACTGATGATTTCGTTAATACCTCATTCATGCATTTTCACCTTAGTAAGTTAATAATGCACAGGGAAAAAAGGAAAAGAAGTTACCGGTATCGAAATTTTAGATCTTATTCCATGTGTCAAATAAGGAGCGATTGGGGGATCATTTGCTCTGCCATAAAATACTCTTTCAGCTCCAGCAGGTGGATATCTATAGTTGAAAAATTTTTTTGCCTCAGGTGGAGTAATTAGCTACAGTGAGACAAAAAATAGAATTATTAAGTACAGTTTTTAAAATATTAGCAGATTAATCTATCCCAATCAGTGAACACCATTGCATGAGTGTAGTAAGTACATGGGGAACTACAGACCCAAATAATGGAACTTCCTAAAATGTGTTTTATAGAAATAAATGTCATATTTTAAAAGTTATATTTAGAAAACAACCAGGAAGTACCCAGGTTAGAAAGCATACCGTATATGACTATTCTCTATAGAAATAAAAGGTATCTCCAATCATTTTTGTAGAGCTAGAAATTCTAAGCCTGGAGTTTTCACTTCCTTGAACAAAATAAATAGAAGGCCTCAAAATACACTAAAGAATCAAAATTGACCACATTAAGTTTACACAACTCTCTTAAGGAATGTCAAGAGTTGTCTATCTTAGGCTTACAAAAATGCATATTGATGGGGGCAGGCAGATGTCAAAACACATGTCCAATGTTAAAATGTCACAATTAAACGGAGCTGTTTTCTGAAATAAATACATACATACATACATACATATTGAAAATGCTCACCCTAGGAAGTTTTTCAGTCAAACAGGTTGCAACTCTGTGTCCAATAGGAATAACTTTCCCTGCCTAAGGGGGAAAAAAACCAAATAGTTGGTCATTGTCAGGATAGAGGGGAGCATTTTGAAGAATGGCATTTATTTCGAATTTGGCCTTTGCTTCTAATGCTACAAAGTTACTTTCAACAATTTAACACAGTTAAGAAAAAAACCCAATACAGTAAATCGAAAATAATCCTGATTTATAATACAAATAGTAAATGCTAAATATATATAAGTATACCTTTTTTACAGTGCTAGCATTGTCAGTGATTCCATCCAGTTATGGGATCTCCGTGACATGCTGAGGGAGTCAACTTTCAGAAATAATTTAATATCAGTTGTACTATATCATCAATACAATGGGAGTATGGCTGCATTCAAGCTAAACTCAAGAAAAGTGTTAAGTACTTCTGAGTATGTGTATGGCATGTTTGCATATGGGTGTATTTTCACCAACACCCTAACTTTTCATATATGAAAATATGTCACTTCTGGCCAAGCTCCTTCAGTGAATGGCCCCAATGCACTTGGTTTCCTTCACTTAATTCTAACTCGGGTCTTATCTGTCCTTCCTTTGCCCAAGGCAAAGATTACAATTATTCCCAGCGATACACTTTTTATCTATTTCTCCTTTGTCATTTCAAGGCAGCTGATAGTTATTTCTGCAAAGCAAAATTTCTCTTTTAAAAAAAATTCTTTTTTTGAGGCACCTGGATGGCTCAGTTGTTAAGCATCTGCCTTCAGCTTGGGTCATGATTCCAGGCTCCTGGGATTGAGCCCCGCATCCAGCTCCCTGCTCCTTGGGAAGCCTGCTTCTCCCTCTCCCACTCCCCCTGCTTGTGATCCCTCTCTCGCTGTGTCTCTGTCAAATAAATAAATAAAATCTTTAAGAGAGCAGGAGCAGGGGAGCAGAGTTAGAGGGAGAAGCAGGCTCAAACCATATATAATGGAATATTACTCAGCCACCAAAAAGAATGAAATCTTGCCATTTGCAACAATGTGGATAGAACTAGAGGGTATTCTGCTAAGTGAAATAAGTCAGAGAAGGACAAAACCATATGATTTCAGTCATGTGGAATTTAAGAAACAGAACAAATAAAAACATAGGGGAAGGGAAGGAAAGATAAAATAAGATGAAAATTGAGAGGGAGGCAAACCATAAGTGATGCTGAACTCTAGGATACAAACTGAGGGTTGCTGAAGGGGAGGTGGGTGGGGGGAAGGGATAATTGGGTGATGGGCATTAAGGAGGGCACTTGATGGAATGAGCGAGCACTGGGTATTACGTGCAACTGATGAATCACTAAATTCTACCCCTGAAACTAATAAAACAGTATATGTTAACTAAATTGAATTTAAATAAAGAATTTTTTTAAACCCTGAGAGCCAAACAAAAAAATAAAATAGGGCGCCTGGGTGACTCAGTTGGTTAAGTGTCTGCCTTTGGCTTGGGTCATGATCCCAGGGTCCTGGGATTGAGTCCCGTGTCAGGGTCCCTGCTCCATAGGGAGTCTGCTTCTCCCTCTGCCCCTCCTCCCACTCATTCTCTCAATCTCTCTCTCAAATAAAAAAATATAAAATCTTGAAATAAATAAAATAATTTAAAAAATTAAAAACTGAGAGGGGAAAACAACCTTCCCATCATGAGTGTTCTGGGTCTTTGGAGGAGCATGGAGGAATCAGGATGAAGAAAGGCAGTGAGGCTGACAGTTGGGTGGAGGGATGAATGTGTAGATGCTGGCAGGAGTATGGATAGATTAAATAAATGGATGGCCTGGATAAAAATATAGACACATGAGGTGGCTGGGTGGCACAGTCAGTTAAGTGTCCAACTCTTGGTTTGGGCTCAGGTGGTGATCTCACGGTCATGAAATTGAGCCCCATGTTGGGCTCTGCACTCAGCTCGGAGTCAGCTTAAGATTCTCTCTCCCAGGGCACCTGGGTGGCTCAGTTGTTAAGCCTCTGCCTTTGGCTCAGGTCATGATCCCAGGGTCCTGGGATCAAGCCCCGCACCAGGTTCCCTGCTCGGCGGGAAGCCTGCATCTCCCTCCCCCACTTCCCCTGCTTGTGTTCACAGACTCTCTCTGTGTCTCTCTCTGTCAAATAAATAAATAAAATCTTTAAAAATATATATATATTCCCTCTCCCTCTTCCTTTGCTCCTCCCCCCACCCTGTGTGCACTCCCTCTCTAAAATAAATAAATCTTTTAAAAAGATATAAATAGACACATGGATATAGATGGGGTTGTGAAAGATTTATATTATGTTAAGTGTTGAGTGCAGAATTCCTCTTAGGGAGAGAACCATCAAGGTTCAAAGTATCAAGAAAGTATCTTGATAACATCTCTGGGTATAAAAGAGGAAACCCACAGACAGGATTAGACAGAATTTAACTGCTTTGCTAAAAAATAGGAAAAAATATGAACTATTGATGGGCTAGACTAAGGAAGGAAGGATTAGAGGAAACAATAGATAACACTGAGGAGAAGGTGGGAGGAGGAAAAGATCTTGCAGAAAGTGAGATGCCAGGAGGCACAAGACAAGAAATCAGCCAATGAGAAGCAGTCCAGCTTTAATGCCACATCTTAAGTAAATTTTACTCACACTGTTACGGAACCTGGACTGATTGCCCAATGGAAGAACCAAGCAGCACTCAAAGATCTTGGAGGATAGGAGGTTTATTTACTCTGGTGGGCTCAAAGGAGAGTGGTCTCCAAAGGTCTGAGCCCCGAGCACAAACAAAGGGGGCAATTTATACACTTCTACTTCCGCATACTTGGCACTTTTGGTGCGTGCTCGAAGTGGGGCAGGGAGAAGAACCCGGATGAGCCCCAGGGCAAGGACTGGGACTCACTGGCTCGGCTGGCCATCTTAGGACACAGATTTTCCTTATCATTCCCCCTTTGATGCCCCTTTAAACACCTAGTTTAGAGGGCATCATTTTCATCTTAGAAGTGATAGGAGGGGGCCAACAAGGGGGGCGAACCAAGGGAAACATTGTGAGAGGGTATCCCACCAAGTTGTCCACTGGAGTGATTCCCACCGGCGATGTATTCATTCTCCATATGAGTGGGGCATCGCTCCCGGGGAGGACTGAAAGATCAGCTAAGAGACTGACAAGTATGCATGATTGATCACGCCAGGTGATGCAGATGTATACACCTTGATCACAAGCCAGAAAAGTGTTGTTAGGTGCACAGAGCCGACTGTGGCCCATGACGGGAGAGGAAGAGTTCCCATACAGTGGCACCGGAGCCAGAAAGGGATAATCTGTGGTCCCCGGTGCTGAGGTGGGAGGTGACACGGTAGACTGGTTGAGGATGACACCTAGGTATTGGATGGGACTGGGCTTCCTACAGATCCAGCAGTCAGACACTAGGGGTGGATTTGAGTGGTTAAGCGCTTGGTGGGAGGCGTCAATCATACCTAACAGTTGCGCTATAGATGCTTGCTGTGTGTGGATGGGGGACCCAGGGATACGCCAGGGCAAGTTATCTTCTGTTTGACTCTGAGGGTTGACTGCAAGGCTTGGGGCAAACACGGACTTAATCATAAACTTGGCCATGGGGTCGGTCCCTATAGAGTGATACTGGCCCAACAGGAGAGTGATTCCTGCGGCCCACAATGAGCCACTGTTTTGATTGGGTTCTAGGACTGAGAGTGTGAGCGGTATACAGTGATTGTTAGGGCAAGAGGATGGGGTGGCACTGCATGACAAGGAAATCCAGATGTCACTGCACTGTTTGAGGCTCCACCACCCATTGGACCATTGTTTCATTCCTGGCCAAGTTGCCACCCAGGACTCGCATCCCCAGGCTTGTGAGCAGAGCTGGGGGCAGGTGTTTGGCTGTTGAGGTGTAGGGCCCCTACAGATGTAGATATCTACCAGTCGGTAACCTGAGTGAGGGCCATGGTAGGAACACCATCTATGAGGTTCCCAGGAGGTATCAAGAAGCTGGCATTCAACAAAACGGAGGTCAAACTTTGGTGTGTGCCCATCCCAGGTGGAAGAAGTCAGTGGGGGCGCTGGTGTGGGATTGAGGGGGATAAGCTGGAAAGTCCATTTGCCAGTAATGGTGATACAAGAGTTTGCCCCCCTTGCCTGGCCAAGCAAGCTAGAGGCAGTGAGGAGGAACAGCACACCAGGTAGCAGAAGACCAGGACTGACTGGGGCCAGGAAAACCATGGTGAAATGCACTCAGGAGTAGACAGCAGAGGGCCAGTAAAAGTGGGATCTATGACCTTAGGTAGAGGGAGCCATCATGGCTAACCCATCAGCAGATGAAACCTGTAGACAAGTAAATGCAGTAATACACCCAAGGGACACACAATAAGCAATGACAATAGTAAGCCTCTGGGGGAAAGTCCTGGCATCATCCACCATCCCTTTTCAGTCAGGGTGGCCCCCTCAGCCATGGCCTATAACTTTTCCTTTTTAGTGTAACTGGGGGGAGGGACTTCTTCCGGGGGTATAAGGGCCATGGTGAGGGAAGGGGCTCTGTCTATGTCCTCACTGGCTGCAGTCTTGGCTGCCTCATCTGCCAGATAATTTCCCCACACTATGGGGTCGTCTCCTTTCTGGTGTCCCTTACAGTGCAGGATTGCTACTTCCTTTGGAAGCCAGATGGCTTCGAGGATTCTCAGTATCTCCTCCTTGTTCTTGATAGCTTTTCCTGCTGCAGTTGGGAGGCTCCTTTCCTTGTAGATGGCTCCATGTATATATATGTACAGTAGCAAAGGCGTACAGAGAGTCAATATAGACGTTGACTCGCTTGTCTTCACTGAGGGTGACGGCTCGGACTAAGGCATATAATTCAGCCCATTGGGCTGACCATCCAGCTGGTAATGCCTTAGCTTCTAGGACTTCAGTGGTTGTGGTTACAGCATAACCCACTTTCCGGGCACCCTCTTGTAGGTACTGTTTCGAGGGTGACCTGCGGGTTTTCGCAGAGGAGCCCTTGGTATTGTGCTAGCCGAGAGTTGGAAAGGAAGGGGTGTCCCTGTGCGTTCATGAGGGACACAACTGCA